TTTAATTTTTTTTTTTTTGTGTGTACACTGCCATTTTGATGTGAGAATTTCCAACGGGTTTTTTGCCTCACTGCTCCATGTTTAAGGTACAGTCCCAGAGCTGAGCACTGTATTGTGGGTCAAATAAAACAACAAGGCACTTTGTGCTGTGACCAATTTTAACAGGCATTTTTTCAATACATTTTTCAGAAAAACTACCTTGAGAAAATAATCATCAGGCTAATGAACTATTACTTGCAGCTCTATAAAGTTCTCTATACAAGCATCCCCTACCCGGTTATCACCCCCTACAGACAAATGCCAAACATTTACTACAGCATGATAAAACTGCTGTACAGGTACCAACATTTCTTGCTCCCACCAAGCCTAAATGTGTTCTTACAACCACAGTATCTTAAACCACCATAACCTGCAGACTCACCAGGCCTCATTCGGACACGGCGGATGTATTTCTCTCCCAGGAAGTTCCTGATCTCCACCAGTGTTCCACTCTCCTGAATGACTACGTTGATGGGGAAATGGGCGTACACAGAACGCATTTTGTACCGGAAACCCTGCAGTCAGAGGCGAGATACGCACCGAGCTGGACTTTAAATGTAAATGAACTGTCCAACAGCCACACAGCAAATCACCGTCATTACAAAAACACCACTGCGTCCATAGAGCCAGGGAAGCACTGTGCGCACAGATCTTACAGTTTAACAAAAGGTACAATTAGCCAAAGAAAATATTATAACTGCCTCTATTACACAAACTGAACTTGGACCTCACCAGAGTGACGCCTTTGATCATGTTCTGGACGTGGCTGCAGATGGTGCGGACTGTGGCCAGCTCCTTCCTGTTTCCCCACCATTTATCCACGCGAAGCTGAGTAAGACAGCACAACAACTCATCAATTTCATTACGGCATACAAGTGATGATACAAGGAACCCATTTGTAAATTAAGAAAAATAATCATTCCACTATTCACATAACTGCCATTTAACAAGCAAAATACAGTTTATTTGCTGGTTCCAGCCATTGCTTGAGTTTTCAGGTTTTCTTAATCACTGACAGCTCAATTATATTTGATGGCTGGAAACCACTATCATTCTGAAGCAGTTAACCTATGATATATTGCACAAGTAACTTTTTTTTAAGACAAAACTGGACAATATCAAAAACAAACGGTTATTTGCAGCTATCTGATGTACATTATCTCTATAAATGCTCTTTAATGGTCCATTTAAACAGAACTGAGAAACTAGCTGAGAATTTCAGAATTGAGAAAAGCTTTTCTAAACAACACTTTTAACAGCAGTCTGCATTCGACACTTCAAGATGAGAATATTTAAGTTCACTATTAAAGCTCGTGACTTAAAAAGAAAAATCATGTGCATCCTTTCCACTAAACCAATTTGTACTAGTACTAATATTGCTACACCACTGTTTTTTGGTAAGACATGGTCCTTGCTTCCTATAAGAAGCATTTTTCAAAATACATGATATCTTGCATCATTTTTAGCAAACAAGCTGTGGTCCTCCTCACCTTCTTCTGTTTCTTGCCCAGCAGGCTGAGCTCCAGGTTGATGTGGTTGAACTCCCTGTGGAGTTTGCCACGGGGGCCCTTGACTATCACAGTCCGCCCCTTCAACCTCACCTCAACTGCACCATCACACAACAGGAAAAACAATCAAAAGGAATGAAGACATAGAGTAAGAAGCCACACTCCACACAAGTTAGAGATTAAAAACAAGTCTCTGAAATGATCTCATTGCTATCCCGTTTCTTACCATTGTTGGGGATGTCAACAGTCTGACTGCTGAGAATGGTCTTCATTCTGTTAAAAGACAATATGTTTAATACACTGACGTTCGTGCATCTTGTGTTGCAGCTTCACTAGCTTAAGGTATAGTTATGTTCACGTTGAAGAGTGCTTAAAACATGGCGCGACTTGTGTTGCATTCACAATACAACTATAGCATGAAGTATGGTCTTAAGAGTAAACGGGTTCCTTCTTTAATTGTGCTCAATGTAACACCTGACAGTGTGAAACTGGGTGTCTAGCATAAGCATCTGAACACTACCACACAGCGTTATCTCAAGTAGCACTAGCTCTAATGCTAACATTAGGAGTGAGAACTGTCTCCCATATGTGGTGCTGAAAATTAAAACGTATCTAACTTGGTCGTATACATAAATAACAACTGAAGCCATACGAACACCACATTTTAAAAAAATAATACCGTTCAACCTGCTGCGGCCCTTACCACAGACAAATACTACAACAGGCCTCAGACAGAGAGCGGACTCAAGGGAAAAAAACTAATATATTTCCTGACAAACCTAAAGTAGAGTGATAATACACTTTATGCTGTGAAACACGTTACTGTCCGCATCCTAGGGGTCAAATTTCAGCCCAAAACACATTTAAATGACACAGATGGCATTAGATAAAGCCAAAGGAATAATTCTTTTGCTATCCTTACCTCGCCGGTAGCAGAGGAAAGGAGGAAGGAAGGACGTCACGACGCTGTTGTACACAACGTCATCAGGCATTACAAGACAATCGAAGGACTCACTGATGATCACAAGCGTTCAATAAATCAATAAAAACCACAACTGAAATGTAGTAAAACACCTTTTTTTTTTAAGTAAATTTGGAAGCACATTTCCATAGGCGTGAAGGGGTTCTTTTACTTTACAGCTGTTAGTTAGAACTCCTTTTATTTAGTGCAATCGTGTTCAGGTAATATCATAATGACCGAAAGCTGACTTAGAAAAACTGTTAATGTCAGCTTAGTATATATGCTCAAATGGCTCCAAAGCCACTATCACTGGCAGTTGCGCTTAATTAAATTCAGTATCACTTATGTACCCGATTCAGATAATTTAAAAAGGAACCTGACACATTCGCATGTTATTTCGAGTTAAATACTAGTTACATATGTTTTTTCTATAATGATGACTCGTTTACTCTTTGTCTCTGTTAGATTAGTTTTTAGTATCGGTGCTTTTTGTTAGTTTTGTTTTGCGTAATTTGATATTGTTTTGTCTGCAATAAGAGATGTTTGAGAAATCCTGAACGCCCCATAGTTGGAAAACACAAGGTTTGCTTATTTTCCCATTGTTCACACATCACGTGATTGCAGCACTAGACCAAAGCAGCCGATCGTCGAGGTTTGTTGCCACTGACAGTCACTTGCTAACTAAAGTCATGGCACTGTTCACACAAAGCTGTTGTGTCGTTGGACGGTTCTCCACAGGCCATCTGCGGCCGAGTCATAGATGCATCCCACATGTGAGTATTTTCACTCAGGGCTCTAAATGACAAACACTGACGGTATGTGTCATTTAATGTTAGCTACTAACGGCTACCATCAGCTGTAAAGCATGGTCACGGGCCTTGCAGCACAGTCTGCAGTAATGTTTTGTCATTATTCAGCTGTACTGACAGTAAGGCTGTTTATAACATCTAAATAGTATAGTAACGTTATACGAATTTGACACCATTACACTGTTTGAAAATACTCAGTTCTTTCTCTTCAGGTTTATACGAGCAGCCTGACACCTGTGGCCAAATCCTTCCAAAACCGGGCTGACGGAAAGAAAACGCTTCTGAGCGATGAAGGGCCTGATCTACAAGACTTTATTTCCGGGGAACTGTCGGAGAAAAGCAATTGGGCAGAGTACAGAGGCAACCTGAAGAGACATAAGGGAGAGAGGTCAGACAGAAGAGACACTGCACCTGTGGCAAACCGGGGCGTTCAGTTGGGTTAAGCTGGGTTTCTAATTAGTGCGATAGCTTGATTTGTCAGATGGTTTCCAGTTGAGATTCCCCTGTGGTTATTTTATCTATGAATGTTTTTTCAGTTGATTGTCCTCTAAAGGTATTAACAGTGCATAGTGGTGTGTATTGTGATAGTAGATTTTATCCTTATTGCTCATACCTACGAGACCACTCTGGCACATTAGAGACTGGCTCTGCTGCTGTGTTATGTCAGGTTGAGGCTTCCCCCATGGCTGAAGAGAGAGATCCCCATTGGAAAGAATTACAACAGGCTGAAGAACACGCTGAGAGACCTCAACCTGCACACGGTCAGCTTTATGTCTAAGCGCATAAATGTTTGCACTTAGACAACTTGGTCAAGTAGGCCACTGTTTTACTTAGTCACAAATAACACACAGACATATTGAGAGGTCACAAATGTGAGCGTGGAATACAAGGACCCAAGTGATTCACATTGCCATGGAATGTTTTACTGACGCTGCTATTTGGCTTTGAAATACAGATAGCAATTTGGAAATACATTTTGTTAAATACATATGAAAACTCAAAAGTATTAAAAAAAAGTAACAGTTTATCAACATATAAAATGTCATTGATACTTCTGACACCAAGGACTACCATGATCTGCAAGTCTTCAAAAACTACTGTAATCAGTTCACTCAAAACAGGCCTTAGTTAGGAGGTATTATAATGTATTTATGTATTACATTTATTTTACAAAGCCTTTGAATATTTTTCTTGCCTGCTGTGTAGATAGATATCAACATTTGGCTGTTGTGAGTCAGGAGCTAGGAAGCTCACTGACCCATACTGAACAAGTATTAATTTTAGCAAAAATTGTCTGTCGTTTTGTGTCTTTTCACTGTTGTTTTGTGATTAGTCAATAATGTTCTTAATAAATAATTGTAGGCCCTATCCTTTTCCATTACTCTAGTATGGTATTACAAGTGTCTTAGAAAGGCTTAAATTTAGACTTGTGAACACTACAGAAACACTGAGACCAAAAATGTTATTGGGTATCTGAAGACCTGTTTTCTTTCAGGTGTGTGAGGAAGCCAGGTGTCCAAACATTGGGGAATGCTGGGGAGGAGGACAATATGCTACTGCCACAGCCACCATCATGGTGAGGCGCACTGTGACTCTGTGGTGTAAATTAAGTTACTGCCAGCAACAAAAATGCGTCTTTGTACATCTTGCACATGCGTCTGCACAAACTGATATTTTACACAAAAACAGAAATTAATTTATTTACTGCATAGTGAAGTGCTTCCAGTTCCACAGACTTTTATACATAGATTGAAAATTCATGATCCATACATTTGGTAAAGCTACACCTGGTGCCTCTGCATCTGTAACATATCAAGAAAAAACATCTTCTGGTACATTTCCATATGAATTATTTGTTCTAGGCCTATGACATACATATTCTAAGGGGTTTCTTTGCCTCTTTCTCTATATAGTTGATGGGGGACACATGTACTCGTGGATGCAGGTTCTGCTCAGTAAAGACAGCCCGTCGGCCCCCGCCTCTGGACCCAGAAGAGCCTTACAGTACAGCCAAGGCTGTTGCTGCCTGGGGGCTGGACTATGTGGTTCTCACTTCAGTAGACAGAGATGGTAATGGCTTCCTATTTCAGTGTATACCTAATTCTCCCTAGGTGCTACTGCACACCATAGTGTAGATACCAGTTAATAAGCAATAATATTTTTTTTTTAAATGTCTTCTTCAGATTATATTTCATTTACAAAGCACAGTGAGAGCCTCTGTACCACAGTCAAATTCACTGTGTATGTAAAGATGCTCAGCCCATAAAGATTCTGACTCAAAATTTACCAAGATATACATCTCCACAAAATCAAGATAACCAACACTGCGGCCAGCCTTTTTAAGTATTACACAGCAGCCGTGTCGGCTGTAATTGCCTGTTCTAACTCCACATTTTCATTTGCACGCAGATATTGCTGATGGAGGGGCGGAGCACTTTGCTAAGACTGTTTCCAACCTGAAGGAAAGGTACAACCTCCCATCTCCTTTGGATTCATTGAGTATTTGTATCTTCCTATCTGTGCTAAATGAATAAATAAGCACTGTCGTCATATGCATTTAGGAACCCTCAGATCATGGTTGAATGTCTGACCCCTGATTTTCGTGGTGACCTGTCGGCAGTAGAGAAGATCGCCCTGTCGGGGCTCGACGTGTACGCCCACAATGTGGAGACAGTTCGTGAACTGCAAGGGTACTTAGACTTAACATATTGCTTCTGTATTTTACTGGCAAGTATGTAGCTCCTGTGTTTTTTATAAGAATATGATAAATACTCAAAGTTAAAAGCTAAATATCTGATCTTTGTTTGAGCATTAAGCCTGAATGCCTCAAATCCAGTAGCTCTTCACTCTGATTTTAGTGGAAGCCAATCACTCACCAAGCTTAAAGAATAACAGACTTTTTGAGCGAAGAACACACACTCAAGTGAAAGCAACCATTTTTGAGTTGAGGGGGTTTTAAATTCATGGGCCTATACATCCACTTGGCTGGTATAAAATATAGTTATGGTTACTGCTCTGCCACAAAAGGGCAGTAAATCATATGGAAGAGAGACAGTGATACACATGCTGACCAGCAGATGGTACACATGAGCCATTTCCCTCCTATTGGCTATAAATACTAGATCAACTGCAGGTAGAGGTTTGCCTCATTAGTCATGTTAATTGTTTATGACAAGCTGGGTAGATCTATATTTACCTCGTCTTTCTGTCTCATCTGTTTCCAGTCATGTGCGTGACCCCAGAGCAAACTTTGACCAGTCTCTGAGCGTCCTGAAGCATGCTAAAGAGGTTAAACCCACTGTCCTCACCAAGACTTCCATCATGCTGGGACTGGGGGAGACGGACCAGCAGATCCTCAACACTCTGACCGGTGTGTACGCTCACTGGTCAAACACAATCGTGCCCAAATTTTTGATGCCAAGCACAATAATTTCCCGGGTGTGTCAGCTCTCCCTTCCTTTTCACGCTGTACACAAATGACTGCTCCACTTCCCACCCCAGTAATTTTGTTGAGAATTTTTCAGATAACACCATTATCGTTGTTTTTTCTGAGTACTGGTGCCAGTTGCTACACCACTGAGGTGCATAACAGAATATGATGCTGATTTTTCACAAAGCAGCAATTGAGCTTATCCTACATTATGGAGTTGTGCTGCGGCTGTTCACTCCGACAGTGATGACATGACTCGAATTAATTTCTCCTAACGAGACAACAAAGAGAATCCTGACTGATAACACTGTTGTGAACATGTTGCAGAGCTGCAAGAAGCAGGAGTGGACTGTCTAACACTTGGACAGTACATGCAGCCCACTAAACGCCACCTGAAGGTAAAAACATTATGTTCTATACAGGATTTACTACAGCAGCAGAAAAACCATGCTTGGTAAACTAATGCACACTTTGACGCCGCGTGTTTGGCTTTAGGTGGAGGAATATGTCACACCAGAGCGATTTGCGTACTGGGAGAAAGTTGGGAATGACATGGGCTTCGTTTACACAGCTAGTGGGCCGCTGGTGCGGTCCTCCTACAAAGCAGGTGAGAGACAGACTCCGCCTTGCACAGTTATAACATGTAAAACAAGTTATGGAGCGGCCCATCCAGTCCACTGACATATAGGATTACTTCACTTAACACCTATGTTATTGTACATTTACAACATGTATAAGCTGAAACCCATTAAAATGACTCGCAGTGCAAATTAAAGAGTGACTTCACCCAAATGGGGGGGGGGTAATAAGATATAAGAGGCTGGTATTTGTATGTAGCTTTATCGAAACTGTTTTTCCCCCAGTTGTCAGTTATTTAAGGTATTGTTTTATTTTGAAAGGGAAGCAAATGGCGGTAAGAGACAGACATTGTGATTTGAATACGAGTACTAACTATATAGTGAGTATTAAAATAAAAGCTTTCAGGGTCTCTTTCTATGATGCCACTAAAGTTAAGTGAGAAAACCTCAGTTGTCCTAGATTGTTTTTTAACAGTGCCATTTCAGGCACATAAGAACTGTGTAAAACTTAAAGGCAGAATAAGTCTTTTCAATCTAATGTTTCTGTTTCTAGGCGAGTTCTTCCTGAAGAATTTACTGAAGAAGAGAAAAGCAGAAGCTGGAATCACAGAATGAAACGCAACCAATGAGCACTTTATAGAGACTGCACCTTTAACTACACATATTTATAGTGACAAAGTCAGCTTTACTCCTGCAATAGTGCAGTGCATTGTTGAACGCTGTAGCACAGTAAACTTTTAAATGAGGGTACAGGAGCAACATTAACTAGACTTATGTCAAGTGCAGGACCCATTCTGTTAATGTTTTTCAGTGCATTTGTCCTTTAGTGTCCCCTGTGACAGGAGATCAGCGAGAACAAACTGCAGTTGGAGGCCTGCAGACATGTAGAAAACCTGGGTTCATGTAACCCTGCCAGGAGAAAATAGAACACGGTGTGAGCAGTAGCTGTACCATCTCTGCCCCTTAGGGGCCCATAAATCATGTCCACCATTGACTCCCTCTCTACAGATAAAAAGCTACTGACCTTTAACTAGGAGTCATATATGAGCAATTTCTGCTTCAGGACTGACTTTATGAAGAAAGATACAAAAACAAGTCTATACAACATGTCTGCCGAGGACTTAAAACACTGTTGATCCCTTTATTTTATTACACTGGAAAAGTACTTTCACCAGGTAAAAAGGTACTTTTACTTCAAAAGGACTATCTGATGAACAGTTTGGCCTGAAACTATACTTTCTAATGCAATACAATATAAATTTACAGCTGATCAAGATGGAAGTTTGTTTCTAACCCTGGTCAAGAAAAAAAAAAACGTTTAAAATGTGCATTTAAAGAACTAAAACTCCTCCCTCCACTTTTGCTGGTTTTCATTTTTGTGTCACTGTTTTTTCCACCAGTTTGAAATAAGCAACATGCACAAATTAAGGACACGTTTTATTGCATTGGCCCTTGTAGTAAACGGTTACAGACACATACTGATTAACATACAGTAAGATGACTCATATAAAATATTTTAAAAAAGATTTTGCAATTTAGCAACACCACTTGATTATATAGCAAATATTCTAAGAAAGTAGACTCACACTGTGTCCCTTTGAAAGTGGCTATTGAGGTGAGACAAACAGTACAAGTATAATCGCATCTGAAATGTTTGGTTGATAAATGCTGATCAACCTGATGTATAAAATTAACCGCTTCTGTGTCTGGAATGATGATCACTGAACTTCTTCCACACAATACTGGCTCAACAAACGTCTTGCTCTCATCCAACCCACTGCAGGTAAGCAATCAGACACACGCTCTAGCCTTTTTGATTTTTAACTGGGCACCAGCAGCAGAGAGGTAAGTGATATGTTTCATCAGAAATACAAAGGATGAAAGAGGAAAGGTGTTGTGTGCAAATGAGGGCGAGTTGAGTTTTAGACTTTGGCTTTTTTGGTGGGAGGTTCAGTGGCGTTGATGCGAGGACAAACCGCGGCTGGGGTGTAGGGGATTCTTGTGGCGATCACTTTCTTACCAATGGTCTCGATCTGCGAATAAAAAAATCAAATCAACTGAAACTGAACTGCAGTTGTAAAACTGGGCAGTCATCGATTCACTTTGTCCTAATTCCTTTAACTTAGATTCACTTTTATTCTACGTGGTACATGTGCGGGGAGTGCCTGCTGTCTTCTCACCTGGAAGCCGATGCTCTGCAGATGAGGGTGGAGGTGATCCAGCACCCTGCGGCCATCAAATATAAAAGCTGGCTTCAGCATCTTCTTGTAGATCTTCTCATAGTCCAGTTCCTGAGGTGGAATAAGGGCGGTACGAGTTTAAAGCTTATACTCAGAGATTTCCTCAAGATTAAGCACTGCCTAAGAAGGTAAAATAATGACTGATTCTCACCTTAAACATATCCCACTCGGTGCAGATGACCAATGCATGTGCACTCTGGCAAGCCTCATAAGGGTCTGAGGTTACAGTCACCAGCTCAGACACTATGGCAAAAAAGAGACTGAGAAGTTACACTCACATTTCATATGTCTGCATCTCTCCTCATGATTGATACAGTTTAGTATCCAAAAGAATTTTCTTCTTGATATGGTGCTTCCTGTCAGTTGACTGCTGTATCGTATGTAATAAAGACTAATACGTTATTACACATGAGATTTCCAAAGCTGCATTTCAACCTTGCACATACACACACCTCTTTCTGGGTTGTCCTCCGAGATGCTGGGCTGGGAGAGATCATGAATGATTTGTTCTTTAAGGACTTTTGGGTCGTAGATGAAGAGCTTGGCTCCTTCATCCATCAGATACTTAGAGATGTAGATACTCGATGACTCCCTGGAGTTGCAAAACAGGCACAAGTTCTGTTAAGGTCAATATCAACATGAGGGCTTTGGTGGTTTATGATTAACACAACAAAGCTGTTAGGAAAGAACTATTAAAGAAAAAACGATCAGGAGGCAACTAATAACTACAAGGCTAAGAAAGGGGTGTGCAAAGAAAGAGCAGAAGGAAAACAGACTAACCTTGTGTCACCAGTATCTTTTTTGAAGGAGAAGCCCAACAGAGCAATCTTTTTACCAGTAACAGTGTTGAAGAGGCAGTCAATAATCCTGCAGGCAAACCGTCGCCTTTGGTACTCATTCATGTCTATCACCTGAGGAAACCAGACAAAACAACAAAAATACAATGATCCTAGACCTCAAAGGTGCATTAACTAAGATTTTACACATAGATAAATCCAGTGAAAATGGAACAAGACATGGGGTCTCCCCACTATACTGGCTCCTTTCATCACAGTCTGCTGTCTACTGTTATTACAGCTTTTCTAAACTATGCTTTCAAAATACAATTTGTGAATTAGTCCTGCCTAACCTTAGTCAAGGTTATAAGAAGCATTTTTTTCAAACTTTGAGTAATCATTGGCTGCCCGACCGAAGATGCTGTGCTATTTGGCAAAGAAAAAGGACTAAGAAATAACAAAACCCAGGGTAGACATCACTTTGGCTTTTTGAGATGGAGCGGATTAAAAGCAACCCAAGGACTCAAATTTGATTCAGAGGTGGCATTCTTCCAGTTGGATGAGTTAGCATCTAAAGCTAATTCTTGGAAAACCAAGAGTCCCTAAATGATCTGTACATAGCAAGGTCCATAAAGAAAGTGAGGAGTATTCTGGCAGACGGCTCCCATCCTTTGTAGTCAGTTTGAGCCATTGAACTCTGTGAGACGCTATAGAGTACCTTAGGCAACAAAAAACATAGAGCACTTATTTATGCCAAGGGCCATCGGTTTTATCAATTCTACAAGTAAACATCAACTTATAATTGTATGTTCTTTATGTTTGTTTCTATTCCATGCTATTCTAATGTGTTTGTTTTGGTGTCACTAGTTACCTAGCATGGTCATGATTTTACCTATGTAATGAATTCATGAGATTTTAATTTGGGAGTAATTCAAGCTTTGTGAAACATTGGTGCTTTGTGTCACATTATCAGTAACCAGTGTTTAGTGGATTGTCAAATTTACTCATTAGTTAGCTAACGCTAGCTTCAGACTGGAGGCTGCCATTTATAGAGTTTGTTGCAACCAGGTATCCATAGTTCGCAGCATAGCTCTGGGAAACACAAGGGGCAGCACCAATAATGTTAAGCACTCGTTTCTTGTGCGAGTTTGTTTTGAGTATCACTGTTAAGGAAAAATGAATTTGAATACAATACAATAAAATGAATACACTATACACTAACTGCTCAAATGAACAGGTAAAGCACCTTTTTTCAAAAAGGTGAAAAATGAGGTGCTTAGTTGTGCAGTTCTCACCTGCTGCCAGTAGGAGGCCACCTCAGGCAGGTTGAGGGCCTCGCATAGATACACCAGATTCAGCACATCCTTCTGGAAACAGCTTCCACCAAAACCTGACCAGGGTGTTACAGTGGTAGAGAGTTAGACACAACACTTAATCTGTGTTTAACTGAAATTTACATAAGCACCCACTTTAAATATCTTGTTAGCATGTCTCTTACCTACGCTGGCTTTGAGGAATTTGCTGCCTATTCTCTGGTCCATGCCAATAGCCTTGGCGACCTCCTCCACGTCGGCTCCAGTGGCCTCGCACAGAGCACTGATACTGTTGATGCTGCTGATTCGCTGTGCCAGGAATGCATTGGCTGCCTAAACACACATACACACCATTTTTTAAAGATTGTACAACTACAAAATATATCAACTTTCAGGAACATTCATTTGGAACTGCAACAAAAAGGTGAGTAATTGATTAGTGGAGCAACCACAAAAGGATTTTTGAGAACAGTTTAATCATTTTAGTCAAACTTCAAGCAAAAATTCAGAACTTTTTGCTGGTTCCAGCTTCTTAAATACCGAGCTACAGCAATTAGTTGATTAGATGCTTGAAAGAAAATTGGCAATTATTTTGACAATAGATATTTTCCCAACTAAAATGTCAACCATTTGATGGTTCCAGTTTTTCAAATGTAGGAATTTGCTGCTTTTCTTACATTCAGGCACACATATAGAATATTTAACATTTTAGTCTGGTTGGCAAAATACGACATTTGAAGACAATCTTGTGCTGTAGCATATGGTGACAGGAATTTTTCATTCATGGAGTCAGGAAAAAAAATAACGTTGAATTGATAGAGAAAATAAGCAGCAAAGTAATTAATTTTCTAACAGTTAGTTGCAGTCCTACACTCACCAGTTTGGACAGCTCTGATGACCACGTGTTGGTGGTGATGATTCGTGCTTTGGGAACCCAGTGTTCATAGACGGCACAGAGCGCTCTGATTGCCTTTTGACCTTCAGCTGTCTCGTCTCCACCAATCAGGACACGGTCTGGATCCTTCAGATCCCGCACCGCTGTCCCTTCTGCAAGGAACTCTGGGTTGGACAGCACCTAAAGCAGCAGCAAGGCTTTAGAAACATGAAGCTTATCTGAGAGTTTGGAAAAGGTGACAATACATACTTGTAGGTTGAGGCTGGGTTTAGTGTTGGCATCAAATATCCTTCGAATGCTCTCCGCAGCTCGAACTGGGACTGTGCTCTTCTCTGTGACAATCTTGTAGCCATCAGACACCTCCACAATCCGCCGCGCACACGCCTCAATGAACTTCAGGTCAGCTGCACGACCCTTTCCCATCCCATAGGTTTTGGTTGGGGTATTCACCTGTAGAGGAGGTGCAACAATTTTGCATTAGAAACAGCTGTTCAGAAACTGTGTTGGTGTGGGTGTGAACTGAGAAAACTGATGAACTCACAGAGATGAAGACCAGGTCAGCTTCTCTGATGGCTGAGTCTATGTCTGTAGAGAAAAACAAATTTGTCCCTCTGCATGATTCAACCACCTCTTTTAGACCTGGCTGAAATAGGAGAAAGTAGAAAAACCAGAAGGAAAGTGAATATGTAGGAGAAAAGACATGGCACAAACAATTTACAGATGTAATAAGAGCTCACCATGACTGAGCAGGGACTGCCCTTTACCCTAGTCATTCATGGTTATGCAGTACCTTGAGGCTGTGGTCCAAACAGTCTTTAACTGATTTATGTCTCATTTAGTCCACGATGGATTAATATTGTACAAAACATGGTGGCTGGGATGATTGCCTAGCAATACTGTAAATGTTTCAACACTGTAAATGAAACAGCTGACAACTCTTTTAAAATACATGGATCTCAAAGGTGGAATAAGAATGTAGGAGAAAACCTAGTGCTTGAGGTTGTATCAGATATCAGGCAGTTAATAATGCTCAGTTTCTTTGGATAGTAAGTTGGCAAGATACCTCATATATCGGCAGAGTATCAGAGTTCCAAGCTTTAATGCGAGACTCATTGACATCTACAACAGTGACTGTGATCTCTGGACACATATGGGCGATCACACTGCATGTTGGGCCTCCTACATATCCTGCACCAATGCAGCAGATCCTTTTTATCTGAAACATCTGCAAATACAAATACAGACAAAGACATGACAAGAAGATAAAACTTTTTACTACTATTTTCTTAATATGCTGCTCACTGCAGATAATCTCTAAATAAAAACCTTTCAGTTAACTAAGGTCCCAAATAAAGATTATTTTCATTATTAATCAATTTGTCAATTATCTTTGCGATTAATCACTTAGTTTTATCTATTAAATGTCAGAAGTATGTAAAATCGCAATTTCGCACTGTCCAAAGAGACCCCCTTAATTTACTTTTGTCCAAAAAAGTGTTCAAAAATAAAAGTAATTCGATTTAAGATATAACTCAAAGAAAAAAAAATTATGAGTTTTGAGAAGCTGAAACTTCATTTTTCAGTAGTTTTCTATTGACCGACTAATGGAGAAAATCCATTTAAAAACTTAAACATTTTAGACAAGTGTAATCATTTTATTCATTTTCATGCAAAAATGCCTAGCATTTACAAGATCCATTCTCACATCGGAGGATTTGCTGCCTTTCGGCGTCTTATATCTTTACGTTTCTGAAGCATTAGACTTTAGGAAGCTGCAATGTGTTCCAAACTTTATAAATGTAACCTCCATAGCCTGAAATGATCCATCAGCAAAGTTTTTTCTTTCCTTGTAGCAACCGAGTTTCATCTAAACCCTCAGGAGTCCAGGTTTTCAGTGTAACGCAGTACCAATCGCACCGCAGCATGGTAGAAAATAAACATCCCTTCATTGACGTTACAATTGTGCCACGTATGTTCCGGATACTAATTCACTTTAGCTGTACTACGTGTCCGTTTGTAGGACAGAATCACACATCAGCAGGACCATGTTTAGTACAGTATACCTTCTCATTATTAACGCCGAGTGAGCAAACTAAGCACAAGAAACAAACAGAAGCGTATGGTGAACCAGCTAGCTAACTAGCTAGCAACCGTTAACTAACATTACATACCTCGGTCAGCTCAACGGTCAGTGAACTTCAGCTCAGGAATGTATCGATATAAAATCAATCCCTCTCTTTAATGTGTCCTGCGGAAAGAGACGTCGATTCCGAAGCCAATGTTCTGTTGGTAAATGATAAATGACTTTAAACGGGGGTAAACCAGTGCTCGATGAACAAACTCACAGGATTCCTCTAAAAACTTTTTAAAGCTTCACCGTTACCTTAACCGATGGACTTCAGCCAAGGCACCAACCGACTGCGGTGTGTAGCACCTACACACATTCATTCAACAAAAAGTAAGGAAATGCAGAGATGCTTCCGGTGTGGTATTTTCAATGTAAAAGCATCAACAAAAATAAAGTCAAAAAACGCGACAAAAACACATGAAATAAAAAAAACACTGTAATGAGATACAAAACCACAAAAAACAACAAGTGACCAAAAAGAGACGGAAAAGACCCCGTAAAACAACTACAAAAATATGCGGAAAGACAAAGAAACACAAAATACAGAAATGCTAAACAAATAATTAGACACAAGACAAGCAAAAATATTTCGTCTTTATGAGCAAGAGAATGCATTCACGTCTGTCCACATCGTTTGGGGCAGATTTTCATGACTGGGGTTAGGGCATATATTATGCTTGTGAATATGCCAAAATAGGACACTGTCTATTTTAGGATAATAGAGTAGGCAGAACTAACAGCTGACAATAAACAAATGCAGTAACAGCATCTATTCAATAAGACATTTAGGATTCACTGTGTTTAAGCTGTAAATCCAAAATGCTGCTCTTTGTGCTGCTAATGCTACTCCAAGCAATCACATTTCTTTCATAGCACCAAGCCACCCTATCACATGTACACAGAATCCAACCTTACAAACATATTGCAACAATTCTTTAAAAAAACATATAAAATATAAACTAAATCTGCGGGCCAATACAAAATCACTGAACAGCACTATCTTTAAAAATATACTTTGATTCAACATACAGTACAGATGTTTTAGCTGCTCAATGTAGCTTTCATACAGTCTAAATTGTTAAAATGTTTTGATTTAGTGGGATACAAGACTGCTATGTTTATGTATAAAGCCAGGAACAATTTATTACCTGGTGGAATTCAAAAACTATTTAATGAAAGGGAAGGGGGATATAATTTAAGGGGTCAGTTAAATTTAGAAATTCATGCTATACGTACAACCAAAAAAAGATTTTGTATTTCCATAAGTGGGGTAAAACTATGGAATAATTTAAGTGTGGACAGAAAAAATAGTAATAGAATTGATGAGTTTAAACATAAATATAAAGGTATGTGTCAATCAAGATATATGCAAGAACAATTAGATGGAACATTGTGGGTGTGGTGTATGAATGTTAACACTCTGTAATAATTCTTTAGTATATTACTTGTGTGGTGTAGAAGATAATTATTTAAGAATGTAATTATGTAAGAATGTTAACAATCTGGAATAATTTTTTAGTATATCACTAGCGTGGTGTAGAACAAAATTATCTATGTAGAGATACTGCTTGCAAACCAATGATGGTAAGATGACGTTATGGGGTAGGACTGGATAAGTCTGACTTCTTCCTACTCCATTCAAGCATGTACAGTACTAGGTATAAGCAAATTGATAATGGATTAGCATTTGTGGATATGTGTGAAATTATGTGTGTTGACATATCGACTATCTTTACATGCTTGAAAGAATAAATCAATCAATCAATCAATCAATCAATCAATCAATCAATCAATCAATCAATTTAAAATATTACAGTGCACACACAGATATTATAATGGTGTTACATTGTGTTATTTTCCAAATGGTATAGTTTTATTAGGAGGACTCCACGGTGGAGGTGGACTATCTTGGAGTATCGTCTGTATCTGTCTTTCTTCTTTCTGCCTCTTCTGTTCTAGATCTTTTCTTGTCTGTTGGGATAAAAGAAAGAGAAACATTTCCAGACACTGTCACCATAAACACTTCTTTGACTACTTGCAGATCTACAGGAAAACTGTCAGATTAATCTAAGAAATCAGCCTCTTACCAGCCACTTTTCATACATCTCTAAAGCCAGTTTCTCTTTCTCTTCTTTCAAATATACTTCCTCCTCTGCTTTATTTTTAATTTCTGTACGCTCCATCATGACTTTTTTATGGAGAACATCTTTCTTCTTTTCACACCTTTGTTGTTTTATGGAAAAAAAAACAGACATGAAGCTTTCTATCAACAAAGCTCAGTGCAGCTGTGCTATCTCAGCACAAAGGATTTAATGTTTCATTGGTGTTATGAAATGAGAACTAAAGAAATGATCAAATCACGAATGTACACTCACCAGTTAGAAAAAGCAGATCTGCTCTCTCTCTTTCTTTCTTCATCCTTTTGTTGCTTTTTTACCTGAAGTTTATTTTCGGCTTCCCTCTGTTTTCTGGACTTCTCTTTGAGTAGATGATCTTGCTCATGTTTCCATTTATCAAACACCTGTAGCCATAATAATATTAGTGGTTAACATGACACCTACACACAGAAATGGTTCTTCGGTATAATGCACAATAAACCAACAACACACCTGTTTAGCAGACAGCCTTTTTTCTTCTTTCTCTTCGATCACTCTTTGCTCTTTTCTGATCATATCGTGCTTTTCTTTGGATTTTGCTTGAAAACTTTCTGCTTTCTTTTCTTTCCAAGCCTCATATGATGCAACAGCTTCTTCCTTTTTAGCCTCTTCTTCCTATTTGTTTTTAGAATGATGATGAGAAATATGAATGTATCTTAAATCACCACATTCTTCTTGTAAGCTTTAGGGATGGTTTGGTGTGCTGTAGTGCATCTACAAAACAAACTATTTACCCTTTTCTTCTTTTCTTTCAAGATTTCCTCTTTCCTCTTTATTTGCATGTCCTCTCTTAACTTTTCCTTTTTCTTTTTAAGCCATTCCTGTTTGGAGTACAAATTAGTGGGCATAGCTTTTACTTGACATGAGAATGCACTGTAGAGAATATGAATAACCAGTGTATAAAACACAAATGAATCTTCTTTGTGCAGGAGCCATAATTGTTTAACTGGGACTTTAGCCTCCCAAGGACCCACAAGACAGTAGGATACCCCCTCTAAAATTGAATTATATTGTATTAGGAAAAATACAATGTTTCATGCATAAACAAGCCTTTTCAGAATCCATTCTGCATAATGTAATAAAACTAAAATTATAAAGGAAGCATTTAAAAGGATTAAGTTGTTGGGTGGCAGAACTTACAGTATACTCTGTGCTTCCTATATACTTATACTGTATACGTGTAAGGCTGAGCTCAACCAGACAGCACTTAGAAGAACCACACTGCAGTGTCCTTGATAAAATACAGAACACAGACAAAACACTGTCTAGATTTTCTACTTCAGTAATGTGGACTCGTACACTTGTTTTCCTCCACCATGGTTTATGTTCTACATAACACTAGAAAAAAACACAACTGGCTTGTTATCACACTGACCTGGTAAATAGCAGCTCTGAGGAAATCTGCCGCTTGTGGCTGAGACTCTTGTAGTGATACTTTACTGTCCAGGACTTTGAGACTTCCCAAATACCTTGATTCTGCTTTCCTGGAGCACGCGCTCTGAGATCTCTGAGTGGTCTTAGACTGAGGACCTGAAGTCCTAATTTACATAAAACAAAATAATAGTCATTACCCAGTTTTAGCCAAGAAATTGTATGCATATTGTATTCTGGTGTAGCTTGGAGAGATTTTCCTACCTGGTGTCAAATGATTCTTCCTGAACATGAGAGTTAAGCAACTTAATGATCTGAGTGGTCTTCCGATTTACCCCAAAAGAAAACAATAAACACATTTAATAAAACTAAAATTAATAAGAACAAGATGGAGAGTATATCTAACATGAAGCTAAATGGGCATCATGAAGACTGTCTTACATTAAATGATGTAGAGTGTTTTCCGTCTTGCTCTTTGTTGTCATCAGAAACAAATCCATCTAAAATGATAAATTAAATATCGAGAGAATTACTGAGTTAAAAATGCAATTAACAATGTAAGATTATTGTGTTGAACATACCAGTTATTACCTCTGGATCCAGAATGAACTGTGGATTTTGTGAAGAGCTCTGACTGCTCACTCTTATTCGAAGAGAATTTGCTGAAGCTGGGTGAAACTGCATGATATCCTTCTGCCCACTAAAATACAACAAATAATGGACTCCAGTTAGAGGATCTTTCTACTAATCTTGAAACTTAAAATGGTAATAGCTAAAACATAACATAACCAGTATTTGGGCTACAGGTCCTTACAGTGATGCTGCTGAATGTATCCGATGAAAGAGGAATGGATTCAGAGGGCTGGGTCCTGCTGAGATCCTGAGATTGAGACTCTTCAGGCAGCTTCTCTGCAGCATGAGGGCTCAGTCCCAGAGTCCTTTGCCTTGGCTTGGGCCTGGGTGGCTCCCCATCTGAAGCTCCATCTGAATGATAACAGAGTTTGTGAAAATATAAATTTAAAATCTGCAATGAAAGATAAAGACATGGCTTCATGTGTGCCTATGTGTTCAAAACAAAAAACGGTGTAAACAGACCTTTGAGGTCAGATGTTGACAGATGTGGAGTCTCAGAGCTTTCTTCCAGACCTGAGTTTGTCTTCTCCCCTGGACCTGAAGCTCCCATCACACTGCTGTTAGATGGTAACGGCAAAGGCATGTCCATTAAAGTGCTGCCTGATGTTTGATATGGCATAGATTCACTGGAGCTCTCCATCGTCATTTGAGGATGGGTAGACTCCACACCATTGTTTTTAAACTGTGCGTTATCTTCGCTGACATTTGTGGACTGTTGTGAGGAAAAGGAGTTATTGTAATTGCTGTGTCCACTGATGGAGTTGTCTGGTGGCTCGGTTTCATGCAGCACCGATGCCATTATGTCATCCAACGGGGAGGTGATTCTCTGGCTTTTCAGGAATGAAACTTTCTTTGTCCTCCCATGTTTGCCTTCATCGTCTGAAAGCTCAAAGTCATTGATTTTGCCTTTACTCTTCCCAGCCTTAAATGCATCTGCCTTCTTTTTTCTTGATTTCAGGAGTTCATTGAAATATTCTGTAAAATATAGAACCTTAGTAAATGACAAAACAGATGTAGAGTTTGCTGATTAACTGATTATATCTATATGTTTTATATATAAAGTTTTTTTTATTTCTTATTTGACATCAAGGATCTAAAGATTGAGGGTGTTGTTTTCTGCAGAGCTTGCAAAGTCCCTTTTGGAAAATTCGTTACACTAAGCAAAATAAATCAAACTGACTTAGTATCCCATTCCACTGAGCCCTCAGAAATCAACTAATTCTCTAATATATGTAGTACATTTTGCTCTGAATCACATTGATATGCACACAAGTACAAAGTATCTTACACATAGTGATGTGAAATAAATAATTTATAGCTGCTAAAAACGAGAAGACAATAAAGTAGGGTCAACATCAACAATTAAAATGTAAACAAAAGCACTAGCTAAAGACAGCTACATGTATACCCACTAGTATTATGTACATATATCTACTGTCTTACCATCTTCGTCTTCACTGAAGTCATCAGAATAGTAGTCTGTTTTTGTTTTGCTTGCTCTAGCAGAGACAGCATCACGAAGTTCATCCTTCAAAGACATGATTTCACGTCGACATATTTACTAACAGTCTTCACATGGTTGCTGGTTTAACTACTCCACTCACGTTTCCGTATGTAAGATATCCAAACGACACACAATGAAACTTTTAACGTTACCTGGAATGTTGTCCGCTTCGATGTTTTCGGGCTTTTCGTGTAAGCCAGTGTCGTGAACTCTTGATTTATCATCCTGAAAACTATGAACGAACTGCATTCAGTAGCATGCTAGCTAGTGTTCGGTTAGATCACTGTAACAAACAGCTGTTAATTAGTCAGTTTCCTATGCTGCTGAATTGCAACGATGCAAAGTTTGACTGCCACATGATTGCTGTCTGGTTCAATATACAACTATTCATAAATGGTATTAACTATAAGCACACATTCGCAGCTAACGCTAGTGGGCCGAGTTAAGCTACTCAAAAATGTTGACGGTAACCCAGGGAAACCAGTTTCGACACTGCGCATGCTCAAATTCCCCCAAAATCAGATTCGAGTCGATTAATAAAACGATATTTTGGAGCTGCAGTTAAATGTTTTATATCTAACATGATCTACGAACTGCGTTAATACCGCTAATATGAATACATTGATAAACGTGTATTATTAAAATTTTTAAAGTATGAAGAACAATCTATGATGGAAGTTTTTAGATCCTCCATACTCAAATGTAACATATAGGCCTACTACGATAAAATGTAATATTTTAGTCTTGTGGTTGGGTGAGGTGTTGTTTCATGTGCATTAAAGCATATCTTATAAGATCATCATAGGTTTCTTTGTTTTTGTTAAGTCTTAATCAGCAACTACACCTTCCCAGTAGGCTAAATGGAGTAAAAGTATAAAGTAGTTTCATATGGACAAAATCTACATTCAAATACCTCAAAAGGTTCCTAGTTATATTACACCACTGGTTATACAATTATATTGCATTTATGGTGGGAAATCTGAAAATAATTGAAAAATACTCAGCAGGCACATAAGTGTATGTTTGCAATGTTATCTCAAGTGTTGAATTAAAGCCAGAAAAAAAAAAAGTGTGGCGTTGCCTATATGTGCCTTAGTGAACTTAGGAATGCACCAGCTTCCAACAAAACACAGACAGGTAATAAGACTGTACTTTTATTTTTGTTTGTTATAGGAAAAGTGCATAGTTGAAGCCCTTTTACGCTTAAACATTATCATAAAACTTGTACCAGACAGTCCAGCTGTTAACCTCAACCACCCTGTTTAGCTCCCACTACATTATATACAACTACCTATGGTTTGACCTTCATATATCTCCTCTCTGACATCTCTCATGCAAGTTTAAAAAGATGTATTAAAATTTAGAGGCCATTTGATATGAAAATGAAGCAGCCAGCCTACAGTTGTAGTAAATCATATCCCGATTGTGAATATGTTCAAAAACCCTGGAGCAAATCCCAAGGCCCAGATGCACTTTAATAACCATGATAGGGGCATGACAAAGATGTTCACAAAATACAGTCAGAGACTTTGAAATACAGGGTACCCTCTTATAACATAATGCAATAACCAACAGAGGCATAGAAAGATACATAAAACTAACATAAAATGACCTCAAATATTGCAGTTCATTCACAAAAATTTGCACTGATACAAGAACTATAAATTCAGTGGCACTGTCGGACAATGCAACTTTACTTTTCATTGGTTTGTCCTACTATAAATCAGAAACATTTGATTGCGCCCATCAATTAATGAAGAAAAGTGATTCTCACTAAGAAAAGAACTGGCCTGCATTTCCACCAAGCCATCATCATCATTTTTAGACTGCTTTATCAGTTTAACACACCTTCAAAAGGAATCAACATACCACAAGAAAAGTGCTAGTAACATATGATTCATGGCTATTAAGTCATTACTATTAAGTCAGTATACAATTATCATTTTCTTCTTCTAGCCACAAAACAATTACAGTACATGGAATCATCTTATCGATGATTATGCTGAGTATACTGTTTTACAATTACCTAAACCGTATGTTTGCCTTCTACTCATTTTGTGAAAGGGTGTGAAATGTGCGCATTTAACTAGCCTCTAAATAGACTTTTATACATTTACTCTCCTGACTGAGGGGGAGAATTGTTCTCTGTTGTGTGGTAAATATTTAGCTTACTTTTTCTACAATAATGCATGTCTTATTGCAAATTACTGCTCATACTACAGTAACAATCTGACACATCAAGTGGCAATATTTTTATAATAACAGTGTATCAAATTACAATGTACCAACAATGTAAAAGGGGTCATAGCAATGAGCTTACAGACAACTATCACCTGAATCTGCAGTTCCCCTCAGCTTAAGGGGGTTTAATATCGAGTTTCTGTTCATTGCTTAGCTGTCCGACTGCAACTGTACTATTTTGTTTCACCCTCGCAGTACCATTTTTGGCCAAAGCAGGCAGCCATTTTCCAAATAGCATCAGCATCAAACTGCAGACAGATGAAGTTTGAGCTGGTAAAGACAGCAGAGCATTAATAGCTCAAGAGCCAGATGTTTCCCTCAGGAGTTGGCAGAAACCATAAACAGAACTAATAAAGAGCAAGTACATTCATCAGGTGGCCTGGAACACAAATGAATAATAATGTTGCTTGTACTTCCCAAAAGTCTAACTAAGCAAATGTGTGCTAACACCGTCACCCTATCAACACCATAAGAAAATATATCAATGTTGTGTTCACAACTTGTTTCCACTGCCCACAAATAGCCAAAATCATCCATTTATGCAGGTTTGAGGGCTGCCAATCTTGGAAGATAAGAGATCAGACTATTTGCTGGCTCAGGTAAAAATTTTACATGACTGATGTAAACACAGATTAGTTCACTGCATTAGGATCAATATGCCACATTACAGTGAACAAAATCCTCAATCAGACTTTAATGTAATCAAATGTTTTAAATTCTGCCTTTCGTCTTATTTAATAAGCCATTAAAACATTACATGATATGACAGTTACTGGCTCTATTTAGAGTTTAAAGTGGAAAGAGAGGAATGTATCTAAGGGGCTGGAGGAACCCACCACCCTTCATTACTCAAGCTACTCCTCTTTTCTCCCCCAACACGTGTTCAATTTGAGTTTATCTCCGAGTTCCCAAAGATCAGTTAGCAACAGAGCTGGGATCAGGGACCGACTCATTAAAGACTTAAGTACCATGTAGAGCCCAATGCCATCACCATACTGACACTGTCAGCCAATATTATTGCTCAAAATTGGCCTAACATTGTTTCAGCATGTGATGAGAGATTTACAAAACCAGATTTGTCTTACGTTTTTTTTAGGTAATTGTATTATATTGTTATTTAACTACCCATAAAATATATTAAAACTTTTTAAAATTTCCTGCCTCAGCACAGATCTTTGTCAAAAATAACCAAAGCTGGAGCAGCTATAGAAGGACAATAACTGCCAATATTATGTTGTGCATTTGTGTGAATAAGAAATAATGACCATCTATATCACCAGATGTTTTTAACTCTGAAATATTATATTATTAGCCTCATCAATCCAGTATCAGTTGGGCTTTAGTAACAAGAATCAGAGAGAGATCTGGAATGGAAAATGGAAAAAGTAAAAGATATTTGTATGAAGGTTGATGGGGAGATGAAGCCATCTAGGTCACAGTTATTTGCCAACTGTGTAGCTCCAATCAGAGTATGTGGATGAGAGTTGGTAGTCTGGCTTCACTGCTAGTCAATAGGAGGTGCTGGTGGCTCTCTTCCTTCACTCTGTAACCCAAGAAAAGAAGATTATGAATCTGTTGAGGAGCACACCCTGACATCACTGCTGTTGTAATCATGGGTGGACTATATGTAGACACATTATCCAGTATGACATTAGGGACAGCTTGACATCTGGTTGTATACAGACAGGCTGAGTCATTGTTACAATAGAGCTCCAGTGTTGGCTCTGGGCAACATCAAAGAACAAACAGTTTCTGGTTCCTAGCTTTGGGAGAAACTTAATCTGTCCTCTCAACTTTTAAACCTAGCAACTGTATAAGTGTTTAATACATTTACAATTGCTTTTAGCTGTAACAACATGAAAAACATTTAATGATACTGGCCTAAAAAAACAATACATTGACCATTTAAATTTCATCAGATTAATTTCTGAAGTCAGTTGGAACCAATAAATACAATAACACAACAGCAACAGGTATTAAAACAAAAAAAATAAAATAAAACTACAAGGGTTTGTAGTAGTGATTCTCAGCCCATGATAAAAAAAGTATTACATTTAACACCAACAGGAGCAAACCAATTACTGAATCTGATTAAGTCTTTTTATCAGTGTCACATCAGTGTGTGTACCTCTAAAACTTGTTGTTTATTTTTTGTGACTACGTGTTCATCTTGCAGTTATTCCTAAGTACACACAGTGTGCTATGATTTTTACTCTTTTTAGGAGTTCACATCAGAGATGGGCGATGGAATGATGCCATCGTCGACGACCTGCACCCATCACAATAGCGAGTCACCATCATGACTTAAATCTTCCCAACCCTGCCGGCTGCACAGCAGTGCCAGCAACAACGACAATCCTGTTAGCAAAGCTCAGTGTAGGAAATAAATCGCCACAGTTTCTGGTTAAAATGACAAACAGCAGGGTCATACCAGCTGTTGCTAACTAACACCAACTCTGACTTAAATTGACACAACAGAATGAAACTCATTGTTGTCAGGTTTGTAACCTCACTGCACCCGGGTGGAGAAACAGACAACATGCTTTATTGCTGTTAGCTCAAGATTGTTTATAAGGTAAAAGGGCATCAATGATTAATTAGAGTGAAATGAGTGCTTCTCTATAGTCCCAACAACTCCAGAATGAGGTGTCTTCACAGGTAAAACTATTATTATTTTCCTTTATTAAATCTTAAAAAGTCAAATAATGTCTTATTCGGTTTGATGAGAAACAGATTTTCTCAAGCTAAAAGCAAATTCCCTCCTACATTGAGAATTATTGATTATTGTTCAAGAGACACTAGAAGTGCCAAGTTAAACCAAGGTGGTTCACTAACTAAAATTCCAAGTATAATCTGTACTGACATTGTGTGGTCCAGTGGGTTTTCCTGTGGAATGGGGATCCCTGCGACTGGAGGGGCGCATCAGGAACAGCACCAGAGCCACCACCACCCATCCTATCAGAACCATGGGGAGGGTCAGGTCACCTCCTCCACCGACAGGCCCGCCGGGACCTGGCACTGAACATAAACAAACAATCTTCGTTATAGCACACGCACAGTAATCTAGAATAATATTTCTGATTTGACAACATGTTTGAATGCAGCCATGCCTCAACACACAAAGATATAATGTGAACTACATTAAAAAGTGGCCATACATACATTCCTGAGGGCACTCTGTGTCTGTGCAGTAGGACTGGGATTGCCTGAGCTGAAAGGGAAATTACAGAAGAACAGAAAAAATAAACTCTTTTATTCTGTGACTTTGATAACTCTGGTTACCACTGCTCTCATCTAGAGATAGAAAAATAAACACACTGCTAATACAACTGTGAGATAAAACGTAAGAGTTTCTTGTTTCATAAGTCATGCAAACATGTGCTCACTCACCGTTTACAGGGACCGGTATACATAATTCACATGTGGATGGTACAAAGCAACCATCTGACTGCTTCCTAAAATATACTGTACTATTCTGACTGCTGTGCAGATCTTTTAGTTATTTGGGCAACCTTTCCTGCTGCAAGCAAATCAGAAAGCCCCACGGGTGGCATCAAGCACTGAGCCAATTGCAGCTTGCCATGAAAGTTACACCTATGCACAAAGAGCCAATGAGGTCACCTGGAAACTGAAAACACTATTACCAGCTGTCTTTCTAATACACTCAAACTATTTTAATTCAACCATTTTGACAATGCATATAGAGCAGCCAGAGAATATTTCCAAGCACAATACAAACCTGTCGACATACAGTGCGACAACGTCTTTGTGTAGCAGAACTGATAGGCTCTCAAAACAAACACAGAGGTGGAACCAGGATACTGGCTCAGTGCCATTCTGTGGGTTTTCATTCTCTTCCTTTGAGATATTCAGTTACTTGCTAGTTGTTTCTAACACCGACCTTTTTGCTTCCATCCCTCCAGGAAATATTTTCACTTCACGCTGCATTTGTAATCATTTTTTAGTATATCACTAGCGTGGTGTAGAACAAAATTATCTATGTAGAAATACTGCTTGCAAAACAATGATGGTAAGATGATGTCATGGGGTAGGACTAGACAAGTCTAACTTCTTCCTACTCCGTTCAAGCATGTACTAGGTATAAGCAAATTGATAATGCATTTGTGGATATGTGTGAAATTATGTGTGTTGACATATTGACTGTCTTTACATGTTTGAAAGAATAAAATCAAAAATCAAATCATACATGGGGTACTCTGACCTCTCCCTTCCATAATCAAGTCTGCTGCTTACATTTCAAGTGACACGAAAAGCCTCTCGGGTCCATTACTTACCAGGTTGATGAGGCGCCTCATAGCATACTCTTGGTTGCAGATGCACTCACAAGGGTCAAAACCTCCCTCTGCCATTTCTCAGCAGACAGTGTCCACCTTTCAACAAACCAAAAGTTCTGTATTTAACTAGGTGTACAAGTGAGAGAAACCTAATGCTGCGTGTTATCAGTGCTGTGCTCTGTTGTTGTTTCATAGGCACACACAGGTCAGGAGGAGGAGACAGTAAGGGACAGTCAGCACACTCTGTGGCAGGATTATCTTTCTATCACACTCTTAACTATATTCATGTTTTTAAGTTATTTATGAAATGCAGCATATGCTGCCAAAGCAAGGAAATAAATAAAAACCAAGCTGAGGAATGTTTGTGACTTCATTTCTGAAACCTCGCTCTCACTTTTTAAATAGATCTATTTAGGCCTTTATATAACAAGATACATATTTTCTAAGAGCTGATTCTGGCACGGTCCATGTATTTTTAACATGTATAGTCTGAACTGGTTTGCCTTTATACTGCAGCTGTTAAAAGTAACACTAATTAGGAGTCGAATTGTAAGCTAATGCTTTGTTTACATCATACTGCATGGGATGGATTCCAGTGCTGATGACTTGCAAACATTCACATCATCAAGACAGTTCTGTGATTATAGAATTGCATTAAAATAAAATAATACCATATCCATTACATTTGAGTTGAATTACACTGAATGATGGTCTATGGATGATGTGAAGCATCCATTTGTTTGGTTTTCTAGCTTTTCTGTATTTGAAGCAGAATGCGGCCTACAAGTCAGAAACTCCAAATAATAACTCGTGACATGAACATGGTACATTATATACTGCTCAAACAAATAAAGGGAACACAACATAAGACATCCTAGATCTGAATGAATGAAATATTCTTATTAAATACCTTGTTCATTACATAGTTGAATGTCTTATTTTCCCTTGTGTTCCCTTTATTTTTTGAGCAGTGTATATGCACATGCCAACCAATTGGTATACAAACAGAGCAGTACATTTTAAACTGTTTTCATTAAAGCAATGTAATATATGGAGAAAGTGTTTTGCGTTGTTGTCTTTTGCACCTTTTTTTTTTTTTACATCAAGATGTAGAAACTAAACTTCATCTCTGCACTTGCAGGTGGATGGATTGACCAATTCTGTTGAGCCCTGAGACACTGTTTCTACATAGCCGTAAACACATCTTTAGCAATTCTATCCTGGAATTTATTTTTAATTGGCCAACATACAGTACTGGGCAAAGGTTTTAGTCTTTAGATGTTTAGAGTCTTATCAGCACACAGTGCCTCCATGGAGACTTCTGATCAGTCCCAAACTCATTCTGTAGCATGACTCCAAACACACAACTACTGTCATAGAGAACTATGAGAAGAACATGGATCCTTGCAACAGATGGTCTGGTCCCCACAGCACACTGATCTCAACATTATGGGATTGCATCAAACAACACTGAGTCAGCCAAATTCCACTTGGCAAAGTTTCCTTGAGTCTCGAGTCACTGCTTCTACATAACCTTAAACGTTTCTTGTTATTTATTGTTAAACGTGCATGCATATCGTCCTGGCTAATTTACCTGTCGAGCTCGTCTATAACAAAAGTAAAAGTAGATTATAAAGTCAAAGATGTTTTAAGTCAAAACAAATATACATGCGTTTGGCTCAGACAGGTTTCGACTCAACTACAGACTTGTTACTGAGCGACTGAATTATCAAAAACATGTGCACGTTAAATTTTCCGTGGGTGGGTTCTTGTATACTTCAATAGTGACGACCAGTCGAAGTTTAAAGGCAGCTTTAATCACTTGTTAAAATAAACCAACACTGATTTTTACAATCACAAAATGCTCCTTCCGAACTAACGTAGCTAATATTAGACTAGCTTCTTGCTAACCTAGCCTGCAAGCCCAGACAAACCTAATAATATTTTTCGCCTGTTAATAAATATATGATTAGAGACACATGTGACTACAAGCGGCAACAAAACACAAATCACTTACCTGAGTTTTGTAGACTTTCAGAAAGCGTTTACAATCTTTGAAAGGCCTGTGAGAGCTCCTGCTACTGCAGCTGGTCTTCTGCTTTTCACAGAACCTTCAACTAGAGTCTATGGTCTGTTTAATACACATGAGCGAACAAACATCCGGGAATGCTGAGAGCGAACTAAACGTTTCTTATTGGGCCAGATGTTTGATGAACAGGCCTTTGAGCCAATCACAGTAAATATCCATTATGACGTCTGGATAGTAAACAAAGGTCCAGCTGCCTGCTCAGAGGCAACAGATCCAAATTTTGTTGAGATGTTTAACCACAGACACAGCGGTCAAATGTAACTGAGTACATTCATCTGAATCTTGTACTTAAGTACAAATTTGAGGTACTTGTGCTGACGTATTCCAGTTCTATGCTACTTTATACTTCTACTGCTTTTCAGGCTACAGACCACTTACAAAAACCAGTGTTTCACTGTGGCCCCTTGTTATGTTTCAAGAGTCCACTGAGTTTTACCAGAGTGAATTGTCCTTTAAGTTTCTCGAATAGTTTCATTAAAAATATTTTTGGATGTCTAATATTTTCTCAAAAAAGGTAAAAGTCCCCCCAAAAAATCTGTATTTGTGTCAGTGATTTTACGTATCAGATGTTATTATTAATAATTTTAAAATGTATATGTGATCTTTTGGAGGGTCCTGAGCTCTTGGTCTGAAACCACTGTGCTAAACTACCTAATGTAGTTAAAGCATCAAGTCTAGCTGCTACAGCACTAAACCAGCTGCCTACACACTAATGCCATATCCTTTATTTTATAAATGGATTTTGTCCAGCTAAGTCCTGCAACAGAAGGTAAGTCCACTGGAGAGGTCTCCATAAGGACCTATGGGCTATATGGAAGGACAAAGTGTCATACTAGAGGAGGGTTCTTCAGTCTGGCAACTCAATGTGTTCTTATTAATATCTTAATGCAATAATAATGTATTAACGCTTATAAATCATTAACTAGAGCTTAATCATTAATAAACAGCGTTGTGTCAGAGAGGGATACAATATATTCATTTGCTTAAAGTTATTTAGCCCCTGAGTAATATAACTATAAATAAAATCCTCAGAGCAAATCACAGTCAGAATATAAATGCAGACCGCTAACAGTGATAAAAATCAGATGTGTTCTGCACATGACGCGAAATGTCATGAAGGCAAGTTTGAAAAGAACATAAGCCAATGTCTTCTACCAGCAGAGCTGAATAATGAAAGTTCCAGTTTCTGCTTTATCTAGCTGCATTGTGTGTACATGTCCGGGACCGGTAGAAGCTGCGAGCTGTCCGGCAGGCAGGCGACGGCAACGGTGAGCGGCCTCTGAAGTAAAAAGAAACGGTACACGCTGAAAGTGAAAGGAGGGCTGAGAAGGAGTGTGAGAAAGCACCGAGCAGACAGTCTCAGTAGAGACACGCACAACACAGCATAGGAAGAGAGGCCCGGGTCTGGCTTCAAGGCAGCAGCAGCAGCTCAACAGACACAGCCATGGCTAACATCGCTGTCCAAAGGATCAAGCGGGAGTTCAAAGAAGTTCTCAAAAGCGAAGAGGTGCGGTAACCTTACTAAATACTTATTTAACTTCAGTTCAGTTCCTTTGTCGGTGTTTCAGCACCATCAAGATGTAGACTGTCTGTGGACGTTACGACGGACCAAAATTACCTTTGCTAACGTCAGGTCCGAGTCCCGTGTTGCAGTAGGTCAGGCCTAAACAGGAGAACTTTAGCTAGCATTAGCTCAGTGCCAGTGTCTGGTCTTAGCTCTCCTGTTATGTCAGATAAAGTGTTCAGGAAACACCGGGGATTCCGCTCGGTCAACTAACAGGCCGCTCCATTCTTACAAACAATACCATATACCTTTGGGGAAATTGATTTATTCAAACAAACCTCCCTCGTATGGCCTACCAAACCCTTCGTACAAGGTGCAGTAGCTGTTTACTGACGTAACTAAATTAGTTACTGTCAGTCCGATTTAGCAGCTTTTAGCTTGCTAACGGTATTTTGATATCTCATCCACAATTAGCATGGGCTAACCTGTGGTGTTCTCCCTTAACGTTCACAAACTTAAACTTATTACACTGTAACCAACTGTGTGTTGCACCAAGGAGTGATTGTGGTAATTTAAAGCCTGTATTTAGTCATACAACTGCCTGTCATATCTTTCTACTATGGGTTTGTAGTTAACTTTTGCCAGCTTGGCTCTGTATTAGGCTACCTATGATGCAAACGCAAATACCCTAACATTTTCAGAGAAACTGTAACAAAGTGATTTAGATATTTATAACAACATGTATGTACTGCCTTCATATTTGTCAGCTAAAGTGTGACAGATGTCCTGTCATGTGTCCCAACATTAGACAAGTAAAAACCAAATAAAAGTAGATTTGGTGGATGAGAACTTCACAGAGCTGAGGGGAGAGATAGCAGGTCCTCCAGATACACCATATGAAGGTAATGTCTCACACCTGCATTATAATAACCTGATGATATATTAACCACAAGACGTTAATGCTATGATGTGCTATGCTACGTTAAAGCATTGTTCTGTCATTTCCAGGTGGCAGGTATCAGCTTGAAATAAAAATTCCAGAAACCTATCCTTTTAACCCACCAAAGGTATGTGCTCCATCTGGCCCCCTCTGCGTTTCTCTCATTCATTGAGTGACATTACATGTGCACTGTTATTCTGATTGACATCATGGTGTTGGAGTGAACATTTTATATGTTGTTAATGTGGTTTTGAAAAACCTAAATAAGCCAACTGCAGAGTGTAGGATGTGGTGGCTTGTAAACTTTTTATTCAGGTTTCTGATCACTGCCTGCCCAGTTGTACAGGTAGTTCAACTGGGCAGGCAGTGATCAGGGCAATCAGTGTAGTGTCTCAGTAAAAAAAAAAAAAGATACAGTGACAAAATATACACTAGGATGAAAACAAAAATGTGATTCTAACAACGAGGAAGATAACAGTATGGTCTCTCTAGTCTTAGGAAATTACTGGTGATCATATGGTGAAACTAACTCCAGCTGAGCAAACAGGATGTGGTTGCTTTTAAACTTTTTATTCAGGTTTCTGACCACTGCCTGCCCAGTTGTACAGGTAGTTCAACTGGGCAGGCAGTGATCAGGGCAATCAGTGTAGTGTCTCAGTAAAAAAAAAAAAAGATACAGTGACAAAATATACACTAGGATGAAAACAAAAATGTGATTCTAACAACGAGGAAGATAACAGTATGGTCTCTCTAGTCTTAGGAAATTACTGGTGATCATATGGTGAAACTAACTCCAGCTGAGCAAACAAACAAATAACTAAAATTGTAACGTACAGGAAACCTGGATACTATAAGAAATTTATATACAGAAAGCTGAAAGACCAGATTCCCATGTTACATGTAAACAACTAAATGTGTGGGTGGCATATGTGAAACTGTCCATCATTTTGTAATAAAATGAACAGATTTTTTTTTTTTTAATGGCTAAAGAATATCTGCTTCTGGCTTATCCAGTTAATTAAATCTCTGTAGACAAATAATTTGACACTATATGTTGTGACACTGCCAAAATATATCCAGATATCTTCACAAGGAAAAGACTTGAAACCAGGATACTACTGTACATGCAAATGTACCCAGTGTAACCTACACTTGCTTCTGTTTTTCCATTACCTCACTCTTCTTAACTACATAACATATCCACATCTGTCTTAGGTACGTTTCATCACTAAGATCTGGCACCCTAACATCAGTTCTGTGACAGGAGCAATATGTCTCGACATTTTAAAAGACCAGTGGTGAGTGACAGGTGTTTGTACATTCTGACCTATAGTACTTGATATTCCACTGTGTCCCCACCCCCCAACCTCCACTTATCTGTTCCAACTTCTAATCTGTCTCACCCAGGGCAGCTGCTATGACCCTGCGGACGGTGCTGTTGTCTCTGCAGGCCCTCCTTGCTGCTGCAGAACCAGATGATCCACAGGATGCAGTAGTAGCAAACCAGGTGAGAAAGACATTTTCTGTTTGATACAATATTTATTCCTGGCACTTCTTTTTTTCAAATGGCAAATACTGCAGCAAGCTCTTTCTCTCTGCATTCTCAGTATAAGCAGAACCCAGAAATGTTCAAACAGACTGCAAGGCTGTGGTCACACGTCTACGCAGGCGCTCCTGTCTCTAGCCCTGACTACACACGTAAAATAGACAAACTCTGTGCCATGGGCTTTGATAAGGTTGGAATCACTTTGCTTTTGTTGTACTTTAATGTGTATGCATTGAACAAGGCGTGGTGGTGTAGAAGAGGAAAATTTGACAGTAGAGGGGAACTCATTTCTCAGTAAAGAAAATAACATAGTCATGCCCTCTTTTGACTGCATGCATGTGCTGTCTCACTGTAGTAAATTTCAAAGCATTTTACTCTTAACACTGCACAATTTATTCAAACCTCCATGAAAATGAAAAGCATTTATTGTATTATCAGGATCACTTACAGTCAGGGAAAAAATTATTTGAACCCCAGCTGATTTTGTAAGTTTGCCCACTAACAAAGAAATGATCAGTCTACAATGTCAATGGTAGGTTTATGTGAACAGTGAGAGACACAACAATAACAAAAAAAAAATCCAGAAAAATGCATTACAAAAAAAGTTATACATTAATTTGCATTTTCATGAATGAAATAAGTATTTGATCCCTTTGCAAAACGTGCTTTAGTACTTGGTGGCAAAACCTTTGTTGGCAATCACAGAGGTCAGACGTTTCTTGTAGTTGGCCACAAGGTTTGCACACATCTCAGGGGGGATTTTGACCCACTCCTCTTTGCAGATCCTCTCCAAGTCATTAATGTTTCATAGCTGATGTTTGGCAACTCGAACCTTCAGCTCCCTCCACAGATTTTCTATGGGATTAAGGTCTGGAGACTGACTAGGCCACTCCATGACCTTAATAT